GATGGTTGATCCAAACAACCATCCAACCAAAAATCAACGATTCTAACTATAATTCAACGTTGATTTAACGTCGTGTGCTATCTGGGTATTTATATCAATATTTGCTTAAAATATAAAGAAAACAAAAAGAACACTGGTAAATTTTTCAGAGTAAAAATTTGAGGAATATGTTATTTAATTTCATTTGTGTTAAAAAAAAAAGAGAGAACTTTGATGCATCCTCAACTAGCTTAGCCATAATTTAATCTCACTAACATCTGGATATTTGATGCAAAAGACATAAAGTGTGAAAGTGCTTTTGTATTAAATTGCTTTAGCCCTATATAGATACATTTAGGTACTTTTACAAAGATTAACATGATGTACCAATACAGGGGAAAGACTTGTGTTGCTGGTTGGACTCAAAGTCAGTATGGAAATTATCAGAAATACTGCAACCAATCTTCTTTATTATTACAGTGTGTATGGAGGTGAGTTTCACGTCCCTCTGCGAGGCCCTGACCCCACCTTTTGGAAACACTGAATTAAAATAAACTGAAATAATTTACATTTTTGTGTCAAAGACTTTCATGTTTGAATCAGAGAAACGTCCTCCACTCTCAGGTTTAACTTTAGCGGATTGTTAGAAGTGTGTGGTGAAGCTCAGATATTCTGGATTATCAGATTGTTTGTCTGGATCCAGTTGTTGCATCGCCGCTGACGGTGTTTTCTGCAGATCATCAGTCCCAGATGCTGTAAAATCAGCAGCTAATTGCAGCAGCGCTGCCGACCCCCACATGGCCGCCCACAAATCTCCTTCATATGTACGGATTTACGGCGATGCTCAGAGAAATAGAACGATTTCATTGTTCAGAGGAACAAGTGTGACAAAAATATGAACGCTCCTGTTTTATGTTTCATTCAACAATAACTGAAGAAATGTGTTTCTTAGCTCATGTTGAATGTTGAACAGCCTGTTTTTAAATGACGAGAGGTTCCTGAGGTCAAAGGTGAAGAAGATGTCAGAGGAGAACCAGCAGAGTTTATGAGACAAAATATTAGGTATCAACTTAGAAGCCTCATATTATATATATTAGAATTAAAATGACAGAAACTATTGGAACAATGTTTAAAATAAAAGATTTAATAAATGCAGAAGGTTTGCATATTATATTCTCCTCTCTGGTTTTTCACTATTTGTCATATTCCTCACAAATCTGGAGAAATGCAAATAAAACATCTGATATAATACTTTTTATTTAATGCTTTAACATTACTTTAATGTTATACTGGAAATAATGTATAAAACACTGAACAAAAGTTTCCTTCGGGGATTCAGAAATTATTACAGCTAAGAAACAGGAAATATAATTCACAAAGTTTGTTAATATCTGAACATTTAAAGAAGAAAGAAAAGTAAAATCCAGATGCGTTTCAGTTATCAGAGAGAAACTGTGGAATAAATTTAATGATCTCAAATTATGAGCTTTGAAAGAGCCTTAAAATGTAAAATTATTAAAGTTAATACTGTTAGGTAGCTGTATGTGTGAGTCTATATGCATATTTACATATAAATGTATGTGTTCGTATGCCTGTAAGGACAGTAGATGTCTACTTGGCTTCAACATATTTAGTTTTTGGTAAATTATTGGTTAATTCAATAGTATTTATTTTTACTTCTTTTTTTGTAACTTTTACTAAATCAACTCTGGATCCTCTCACCTGAAAATATAAAAATATCCATCTGCGGCTCTTTCCCAGTAAAAATGAGGAACGGACAGAAAGTGTGAGAACAGCATGAAGCAGCATTTTTACCCTGAACCTGTTGGACTGCAGCACAAAACCGACGCAGCAAAACGCCGAGGAAAAGACACACAGCCTGAGCCGCCGGTGCAACGGAAAGATTTACAGAGCAGCTTTCAGTGTGGAAGAGTCCAGCCACAGGTTCTGGTTCTGTTCAGGTTCTGGTTCTGTTCAGGTTCTGGTTCTGTTCAGGTTCTGGTTCTGGTTCTGTTCAGGTTCTGATTCTGTTCATGGTCATGTTCAGGTTCTGGTTCTGGTTCTGGTTCTGTTCTGGTTCTGATTCTGTTCATGTTCAAGTTCTGGTTCTGGTTCTGTTCAGGTTCTGGTTCTGTTCTGGTTCTGGTTCTGTTCAGGTTCTGGTTCTGGTTCCTGATAAAAGTCATCATCCTCTACATCAGGTGTTTACCCAGCAGTGTCTTCAGTCAGAGGCTTCTTCAGATTAGTTGGAATACTGACTGCTACTTTCTGCCCACAGCTATGGCAAGTCGTTTTAACATAAAATCGGTTTTGTCTGACTATCTGTAATTACATTTCAGAGCTTTGACTAGGCCAGGGGTGGGCAGTCTGGTCCTGCAGCTCTTAGACGTCTCCCTGTCCAACACACCTGGATCCAGCAGCTGAATCTCCTCCTCACTGCATCAGGTTCTGCTAACGACCTCAGTATTTGACTCGGGTGTGTTGAAGTAGAGACACATCTACGTAGCAGGAATCCCTCCAGGACTGGAGCTGCCCACCCCTGGACTAGACTCAGGTACATTTTGATTTTTCGTGGATGATTAAATTTCTGCAGTTTGTTTGTTTGGTACTGATCAGAACTTCTGCCGTCGACCCACTAGCAAAATGAAAATGGAACATTTTTCATTGAAATTTCCAAATGCTAATTAAATCTGGGACATTTTGACTAGAATAATTACTCCACGTGTCATATTAACTCAAAATATCTGAAATAGAAAAGTTGTCTGGATTAAAATGTTCAAATATATCTAATCTGGAAATATGCTGTAACTGTCCTGATTAGGATTAGGAGACAGTCTCTGTTGAACAATAAAGAGTAAATGTCTGCATAAACACTGGAAAATGTCAGAATATTTGCTCTTCATGTCCTAAAATGTCATGTTTCTTGCCTGCCAAGATGCCACAGAGCTGAAGTCACCAAACAAGACGGTCAAATCATCCAACAGCAGGTCAGAAACCGGCCGCAGTGTGAACAGGACAGCCGTCCTCCATGGCGGGAACTGACGTCATGCCGCTGCCTGCGTTCAGCAGCACGTCATTAAATGCATTCAGCGTTTCCTCTGCCTCCATGCTGGACGCAGGCTGCAGCGGCAGGCGGCACACAGGTGGCAGGGAAATTACAGCAGCCTCTGGGTTGGACTTCTTCCAGGTCAGGGAAGCCAATAAAGCGGCTGCTAAAGCTATATGGCTGAGGAGGCGCCCATGCCAGGATATTGCTCACTGTGCACGGGACAGTACGTTTTATTAGTCGGATTATATAAAATAATGCAGATTGGATTCATAAGGTCATTAAAGAACTGAAACCTGTCGGGCTTTGAACAAAAGCTCCGTTGTTTTAAAGCGTGAGAACAGAAAGTGAAACGGAACAGAGGGAACATCCGTCATCAGCTCTGATCCCTCATCACTCCAGATTTACCGGCAGATCCAGACCGAAACAGCCAACCAAACGTCCCAGATCACCTTCATACGACCTGAGCTCAAAGCTGTTTTAATGTTTCTATGAGTTCACATCTGCTCCCAGATTTCACACAGGATGTTCTGTTAACCAAGAAAAGGATCAAAATCTGCATCACCGTTTATGATCATTTATTATTAATCACATGAATAAAGTTTTAGTCCAATCTGGACACCAATTCCAGCATCAAACTGATCAGGAATTAATTGTAAAGTTGAGCTATTGATAAATGTTTGTGGCGGTGATCACTGCTGCATGGAGACTTTCTTTTGCATCTCTAATGTATTAACACTGATAAGAAACCAGGTTTATGTTTTTATTTTAAGATTTATGACTGAAAAACCGATGCATAGTAACTTTAAGATCTTTTTTGTATCCAGCTGTATTTACAAAAGTTTAGTTTTTGACCCATGGTGTGAGCCTTTAGCAAACTGAAGAACACACACATCAGTGATTAGTGGTGATAAGAAGTCAACCATCAACGACTGTTTCATTATTTAATCATTCATCCATCCATCGCATAATATAGGAGTGTGGAAGTAAAAACTGGACCCACACATCACATGCAGGGAGAACATGCAAACTCCATACAGAGTCCCCAGGCTGGGATTCAAACCGAGAACCTTCTGTCTGCAAGGCAGCAGAACAACCGACTGCTTCACCAAGCAGCCCTCACTGCCTTTAAAATGATATGCAAAAATCATCAAAAATACTTTTATTAAACATCTTTATTCCTGCTTTATTTACACAGTTTAAAGGAACTATTTTAAGATCTTGCTCTTGGTATCTCACGCCCCACAATGAGGCCCCAACCCCACCTTTTGGATCCTCTGACTTAAAAATTAGATAATCTGCATTTTTTTTCTGACCAAAAACCTCTTTGACATGTCAAAGACTTTCATGCTTAAAGCATAAACCCTTCTCCACTCTTTAGCGGAACAGACGTCATCTGTTGTCATGATTCTGGTTGTTGAGGTTCTGATCCAAAAGCAAAGATGTGAGGCAGCAACTGAGTTTTGAGGATTTAATGAGGATCTTCAGAGAGAACAAAAGTCCAGGCAGCACAGGTGAGCAATAAAACTAAAACTCAAACACTGGTAGACAACAACTCAACGTAAGCTGTGACCTGCCCAGCTGGAGAAAGGCACCAGCACCTCCGACTGCAGGAGGGACAAGGGTGTACAGAGAATGGACGGGTGGATGGACTCAACGTAAGAGAGCAAAGACAAGGATCCGACGGGGAAACACGGATACAGGTGGGATTAAACACACAAGAGGTACTCAGGGAACCCGAGACACAGCTGGAGCAATCAGGGCAGACCGGACGACACAACACAGGAACTAAACTGACACACAGAAAAACCAAATCCTCACACCTCTGTTAGTCAGAAGTGTGTGAAATTTTTGTATTACAAGAAAATGAATCAGTTTTACATTCATAATAATATCAGCAGATTATTAATTAAACGCCTCCTTTAGAACAAACAACTATGATGCTCTTGTTTCCGACAACATTGAAGGCAGCATCTGTGTTCAGTCGCGTGCGCCGATGTTTGCAGCGGCGCGAAAAGTCAAACAAAACCTTTCGTGATAAAACGACGTGGGCAGGTGAAAGACAGCGATTTATAATACACGGGTTAATATTAAACAACATTGTTTAATATTAATAGTAGTCTTTGACTAAAGTTAGCTGAAAATAATTTATGAATGTTTTTGTTTAGGCAGCGTTAGAATAGCTTTAGCTACGGTAAACGTTTCTTTTAGCTAAAGCTAACATTTGATTCAAATTGATTTCAAATCTTTTACAAAAATAAATGCGTAAAATACGTATTTTTATTTTGTGTGCTTTATCCTATTCGTGTTTTTCCATAAAGTGCGCATCAAATGGCTTCTCAGAGCTACATTTCCATCTCCGAGCTTCACCCCAACCTCTCCCATGCTGTGAGTTCACAGCTTATATTATTACTGCGGATTTCCCAGAATAAACTTCCGTGGTTATTTGGCTGGGACGTTACCTTATGGTTTTGAACGCTGTGTACTTTCAGACATGTACTTATTGAGTAATTTGGGCTGAATTATTTAAATTCCCACAGATTTTGTCGCTTTCTGTTTCTTTATGATAATGTTTTCCAGAAAGTCTTTGGGGTCATCATTGGAAAAACGGATGTGAGAAGTTTCCCCGATAGAAAAAGTCAGTACAAGTCTCTCTTTTTCACCTCTTAAGCCTAACCTGCTTTTAACCTGGCTGTGTTGAACACCAGCGCCCTCTGCTGGTCATCCCTGTATTATTTAAAAACCTAGTGCACAAATCAAATCTGTTTCTCCTCTGATTACAGATATTGAGATTGAACGATTCACCTTTGGCTTCACCATAAGAGACTCTGCAGAGTTCTTCATCAATGTGTCGGCCTGGGGCGGCGAGGCGTTCATCAGCGGGCTGGCCGACAGCTTCAGCATCGGAGACTGCGGTGAGGACGACCGGCCGGCTCTTCTGCCAGGATCCTCAGTTAAATATATGTAACATAGAAACATTAGAAACAAGAAAGGATGACTCCAAATATTTTCTGTTGAAATTTTAATGATAGGCTGTTTTTATGACCAAGGTTTTGTTATATTATTTTTGCAAAATATGGAAAACTTATTCAATTGTATTTTTTATGACTAAAATTGTTATGGTGAAAGAAAAA